CCATGCACTCTAGTTCCAGTGTCATCCTAGCCCTGTGGCCCACTGCCACAGCACAGCACCACTGTAGTGCATCTCTCAGTTCCTGTGGTGTTCTATTTCTTTATCTATCAACTATAGACAGCATCTCTTTATTTCTTACCTTACAGATGAGGGTACTCACTCCTCCACCCAGCCTCCTATGTATGTGTTACTCGGTTTTGAGACGTAACAGTGGGATGACAACACAAGATTACTTCTGCTTTACATGATAGGGAATAACCTGCACCTGAGCAGTCTGAGACCTACTTTCTCCTGAGGAGAAAGAACAGTAGCAGAACTCCGCAGTGCCTCTCATAGTGTGTTTGACATGGCCTGTCACTTCAGCTCATATTCATTTGGCAAAAGCAAGTCACATGCTAAGTTCAATATCGACAGGTAGGAGGAGTGCTCTCCCCACCCCACACCAGAGGCAGGCTGGTTACGGCCTCAGGTGAGGATGCACAATCTTCTTTCAAGGAGGGTGGTGACTAATATAATGCTAATTTAATTTCTCACAGTTCCACTTCTCTCCTCTTCTGCTCTCCAACTTCTGCAAGCTGTGTTCTTCATTTTACATCATCAACATGGAAAACTTTTGTGTGCTCTTTTATATTATATATATATATATAATATATATATATATTATATATATTATATATATATATATTCTCAAGTTTTAGGGCTTTGTTGTTGGTTTTCAGCAGGTGGAACCCACCTAGCAGCATTTACATCACTGTGACTAAGCACACACTCTTCACTGCAGAGCCAGGATCCCACACCACTGTTCCAACGACCCCAACTCCAAAAGTTTAAAGGAGTTCTCACAGGCCACCACATAACTCACTGCTCAAAATTATGCCACACTTTGAATCACTGTATATCTATGCCTTTCATGAAAATAAGTCAGTTTTTCTGAAGTTTCTGATTACCTTTATTTCTCCTTGTTGATGAGAGAAACATAAGCCTCGTATGTCATATTCCTAACAGCTTCCCAATTCCTTCTCGCTCGTTATTGTTTGGATTCTTCTTCCTCTTCTTCCACTTCCTCTTCCTCTCTTCCTCCTTCTTCTCCTCTTCGTGTTTTCCTCCTCCTCCTCTTCTCCTCCTTCCTCTTCTTCACCCCTGCTGACCTGATCTAACTGGGCGGGGTGCTTCACTGTTAGATTCCAACACTTTTGCGTGACTTTTGGTCTTTCCTGTACTTATTGCCTTGTTTTTCTTGCTTGCTTTCTTTGATTACAAACTGAACTTTTTGCAGCATTCCAATAATACTTTCTACCATGCATCATGTCCCTGTTTCATGTCACCCTTGGAGACTGCTGTCCTGAGCCCTCTGTCCTCCTACTATAATAAAGTCTGACTGCCTTTCAGACCTCTAGAGCAGCTTCATCCTGGGGTTATTCTTCATGGCTGTCTGAAGTAGGAGCCATGCTTTCTTGGACATCATATCTTCTTTTTCATTTACTCCTTTGCTATGCTGAAATGCATCTTCAATTAACTATCTAAAAAAGGCAAGTCCCTTGGTGCATGCTCAGGCCAGATGATCTCTAATGTCTATTCCAGGTATAAAATTCTATCGATATGTATTCATTTACAATATACAATTTCAAGAAAAAACTTAAAGTAATTGCTGCCCTTAAGGAATTTACAATCTATTTAGATAGACAATAAATTCTCAAAACAGTAACAAAAAATCATCAATACAAAAGATGCCACAAGCTAGGACACAATTAGCCATCAGTTTGAGCCATAGCCTAAAGGAAAGAGAGACGCTGAGCCAGGCTGTGGAGCTGTTACTTGGGAGGGAAAACTTTAGTAATGACAATGAGTAGGCAGCAGGTTAGGGACAGATTAAATGTTTCTGTGGCTTTCAGCAGTAGATTAACAGCCAGCACTAGTCTGACACGTTGGTTAACAGTCAATGGGAACTCTCCTCACTCCAATTTTGCCTGTCACTACCTGAGTCATCCACATTTTTGTTTTGCCAAATCATGACAGATGTAAATCTTAATTATGGAAGCACAATTACACCTTCCCCATTAGGCAACCTTTCTGACTATCTTGGGACATAACAATGATCTTTGCTTATATACATGAGTAATGGCACATGCTCATAAAGGCCCTTCCTGTAGGAACACAGTGGTACTGGTAGTGATCTTTATCAGCAGGGTTTGGCTGCGGTGACTCCTTACCATAATCCACTTTATAAACACGTTCCTCAGCATCCCAGCAAGGATCAGAGTGACACAAATCACCTTTCCTTCCCCAGCATTCCTCAGGAAACACTGCTCTTAGAACTTGAGCATTACCCTGACAGCACTGCTACGTAAATGGAGCAGGAGCTGGGGAATTTTAAGGACAGGGTTTCTAACACAGCTTGGATGAATCTGAGACACTTACATGAGAGGGAGAAAAACGAACTTTTATTCAGCCCAATACTTATTCTCTTGTCCAATATGCAAATAAGGAGAGGACTTGCACAGAAGGATGTTTCCAGAGGAAAAAGAAGAAATGTTCAGATCAGGTCTCTGAGCAGCTTCCAGAGAGTGGACATGTAGTGCTGGCAAGTGCCGGGGGCCTCATGGAGGGTTTTCTCAGCAGGGCCTAACCAGCCACACCTGGGAGGTGTGCTCCGGACACCCCTTGCATCCTCCAGGAAAAATTAACTGCTGTTAAAACACAGACTGCTCCTGCCAACCTCAAAGCATTCAGTGAATTCAAAGCTTGTATTGATCTTCCTCAACAGTCTATTGCCTCTTGACTGGTTTATTCATCCTTATATCCCCAGTGCCTGGCATATGGTGGATGAATGAGTGAATGCATTTGAAGAAGCAGCATTTTATTAAAGGGTAGAGTGGCATGAATATTCAGATGTCACTGGGGCTTCAGAGAAGGGGATCTGTGCCAAGAGGAGGCTTCTAACAGTTGTGGTCCCTCACACCACTCAAGAGGGGTAGGGATACAATTGCACCAAACAACCAGCACACCAGTAACAACCAAAAATATCCACATGGTTTTCCTGATTTGCCCAGGGCTCCACTGTGAGGGAAAGGGGAGCAGAGAGAGCAGCAGAACTGGAAAGCTACAGCTACTGCTGCAACAACCCTGTCCAGACACGGGACCAGTGCTCCGCTCTGCACAACAGCAAAAAAGATAACAGACCACCAGCTTGGAAAAGTGTCCTGAAACCAGTCACAACCAGAGAACAGGGGTCTCTGACTGAAAGGTGAGAGACACCACCAAAGGTCAAGTAGTCCGTGTTCTAGGATAGGAACCAGACCAGTACATGCAGAAAACTATATAGCAGCAAACCAATGCAAAGTGGCAAAAAAAAAAAAAAAAAAAAAGCACCTGGGTTAAGTTACTGAAAATTTACACGTCTATACACCCATGGCTCACCTGTTTTGTTGTTTTTGTAGTTTGTTTATTTCTCCTTTACCTCCTCCTGGTTTCTTAGAAAATTTTGTCTTTTATAAAAATAAAAATCCCATAGGATTCTGCTCTTGGGAAGGGAACTGCAAGGGGGAAGCTGGTCCCTGGGGACAGTCATCAGGGTGAGTCAGTGGATGCTGTCACTGCAGCAGGCTGAGGGTCTGTGCAGCCCGGGAGCAGCACTGGGTGGAAGGTGGACAGCTGCTGTCTCCGGGACAGGTCCCCTGCAGGGGTGGTTCCCTCCCCCAGCAGCCACTTGGCACAGCCTCTCCTGTGTGGCACCCATGCATTTGTTTCCTCAAAAGCCTATAGGATGGCATTTACTTCACCACTTAAGAAAACCCGGTAAAATCAAGATGCATCCCAGCTTGAGGCTCACATTCTCTAGAGAGATGGAAAGGCTGCCTCTACTCCAGCAGGTGGAAACAACTAGATTAGCATCAGCTTGCCTTTTGGCAGCAGCTAATGTGCAGACACGGAAGGGGATGTGGCCTTGTGCACAAGCATCCCTGAAGGGAAAAACCCAACTAAAAGCCTCTTAACTTTCTGCTCAGATAAACAGGTTCCCGCAACCACAGCAGCCCCTGGTATAGAAAGATGTGTAAGAACCTGGGAGGCCAACAGGTCCCGGTGGGCAGTGTGGGTTTGACGATCACACAACTCCAGAGGCCCTGCGAATCTAAAAGAAGGTCATGAGAAAGGCCAAGGAAACCAGAAAAGCACTCGCAGCTGACTTCTGCTCTTGAGAACCCGGAGCAACGGGCTCGCGCAGAGAGGGGTCTCTGGAGAGCGCGCTGGGTGCCTGCCTCTGCAGCTCTCTATGGGCGGCAGCGAGGGACACCCCCGTGCACAAAAGATCAGCCTGTAGGAAGCAGTCGGCTGGACACTGGAGAGGGCGCTGGTGGAAGAGGGCAACGGAGGGGTAGGGGAGTCAGGAAGACGTCCCCCTGATTTACACTCAGCGGTAGCTCTGTGATGGGTCTTTAAAACCGCTAGGCACCCAGACATCAGAGTATGCCCAAGAATGCACGTCTGGCCGGCCAGGCAGCGGAGCCCCCATGACATCCGCCGGTGCCCTGTGCGCCCTGCGGGGTCCTGGGGAAGCAGCGGGACGCCTGCGGCTAAGCAGCCCTCGCCCCCCCCCCCGCCCGGCCCTCGCACACGCAGTGGTGCCAAGGGCGCCGCTGAGCCCGGTTCACCCTTTCTGCGGTTCAGCACCCGACCCCGCGGCCGCCCCGGGGCCGAGCACCCCCATCCGGCTCCTCTACCCCGAGGGCTCCGCGGAGAGACAGGCTCGCGTGGAAGGGTGCGCGCGACGGGAAGGAGGGGCGGCTCTGGGGGCGCCCAGCGAGAGCCTCACCTGCCACCCGGAGCCGTCCGGCCACCCGCGCTGGCCCCGAGCGTCCCCGCCAAGTTTCCTCCAGGCCCAGCCGTCAAGCCACGGCCGAGGACCCCGGCCGCCTCTCCCGGGCGCCCGCCGGCTCACAGGGTCCCGTCGCGCCGCCCTCCTCCCTGATACCCTCGGAGCGGGATGGCGAGCCGGCGCTTACCCAGTCCAGGCACGAAAGTGTTGAGAAAGAGGCAGATGACGGCCACGGGGAAGGGCATGTAGGGGATGGCGGCGCGCAGGGGGCCCTTCTTCTCGCGGACCTGCACCACCACCCCGCTGGACGACGACGCCCCCCGGGGGTCGGCCGCCGCCGCCGTCTCGGCGTCCTTGTGCGAGGGCTCCATGGCGGGGGGCGCTCGGGGCGCACGGGCTGGCGGCCGCGCGGGCTCCGGGGCGGCGCGGAGCGGCTCGCGGAGAAGCCAGGCCTCCGCGTCCCCACTCGCCGGCCTCTGCCGCACGCTCCACAGCCGGCGGAGGGCGGGGAGGGCAGCGTGACACGCGGTGACAGAGCTCCGGCGCCCCTCCCCGCCAGGCCGTCCACGCCCCCTGCCCAGCCCCCCACCCCGAAACCGTCCCCCGCGCAGTGCAAAAGCAGGGCGAGGGGAGGCGAGCGGGAGAGGCGCAGAGGGAAGGGGGCACACCTCACCCTCGCCTCCCCGTCACCCGGAGCCGTCGGGAAAGCTTAGGTTCAGTCTCGCTAGGAGGATGGGGCTAGGGGACAGGCAGCACCTGCTGCCGACTAAGCCTTCGCTTCACTCTGATTTAAGTGCCTTGTTCCGCGTCACGGAGAAAAAGCAACTCTGGAATCAATCATAGAGCTGGAAGCAAGAGATAACATCGGGCCAGGTCTGCTCCATAACACACACACACACGCACACGCACACGCACATGCACACGCACACACACGCACTCAGTCACATGTGCCATGAGTGAGGAGCAGAAAGGAGCGCCTGCTGCTGGGAAGAGTTTGGGGAACCACTCACCCATCCTCCAAGCTGTGCCTTGGTGAGGGCTAGCGAGAGCCAGTAGGGACAGCGCCATCTCATGTTGGCTTGGAGGCAGGCCAGGTAGGGAGAGCCGTTGGCGGTGCCCAAGCCCTGGCCAATAATTTGATTTGTTTTCTCCGGGACACTGCCTTCATCTCCCCACCTGGGAAAACAACAAATGATTCAAAATAACTGCCTTTTATGTGATGGGGGACTTAAACCTTTAGGATTCTCCAGATACTCAGCAAATACCCTAATTGAAAGGATGTAAATCTGCTTCCCAATAATCCTTTGTCCAAGAATGATAATTGATCAACACTAAAAAAACGGGAGAGGGGTCAGAAGGGTAGTGAAAGAACATGGATTATTTTATGAGTACCTGGTAAAGTAATTTTAAAAGTAAATGACCAGACATGAGTGGATACACACACACCTGTTACTAGCTTAGGCCTAGGAGACAGAAGAAATGGACTGGAAGTTTTGGGTCCTGTTTGGCCACTACTACCTGTAGGGCTCATAAGCACTTGTTCCTGGGCCTATGTTACTGTTTGTAAAGTCAAAGCAAGATTTATTTTACACATATTTATGGAAGGCCTATGTGACTCAGGTCCTGGAAAGAGAAAAATGGATAAAATCCTGCCCTGCATTTAAGAGTCCAATAGATGGACAGAAGGGTGAAGCTGCCCTGATGGGACTGCAGAGACAAGGCTACCTGCTGGGCGGAGGTGGCTGGTGGGGTAAGGCCTTCTGTGAAACCAGCCAGGTTGGGGGAAACACTGAGGAGTCTCTCAAAGAAAGTGACTCCAGTGGAACTTGGACAATGGTTAAACTACTTGCAGAGTGTTTCATTGTAAACAAATGCTTACCTCCGCAAGCATGCTCTTCCAGGGACCATTCTAAATGCTGTATACACCTTAACTCCTGTACTTCTCCCCTTGAATCTATGAAGTTCATTACTCCATTTTACAGATAGAAAAACTAAAGCCTAGAGGGGTTAAGCAACCTACACAAAGTCACGCCTTACAAAGGAATAGAGCTTGAATTTGGTGACAGGCAATCTGGCTCCAGGTTTTATAGATATTAAACAATTATTTTATCCAGAGACCTAGAAAACAATCCATATTCTCTGAATATACTTTTGCAGAATACCCAGACTATGTTATGGCCACTCAATTGATATTATCCTGGAGAAATGGGATTTTAAAGAACAAAATAAATGTGCAGCAGTAGCACAACCATTTGATTTATTATTGCGGTCTGCTGTGGTCAGGAAATTGGGCAGAGCTGCCAAAACAGTTCATCTTTGTTCAGTTGTGGCCATAGCCTCAGCTGAGCAGATTCAAATGGCTGGTGGCTGGAAGAAGTGGGCCACAGGACTCACTAACAATCTTGGGTCTCGGGTCTGGGCTGGTGAACCTGACGGTGGCTTAATTGAGCCGACTCACCAGTGCATCTCCTGTGGCTCTGTGCATGGCTTGGGCCTTTCGCAAAATGGCAGGTGGGTTCTCCTGGGCTGGGTTTCCTGGGAGAAGACCTCCAGAGTGAGCACTGTAGGGCCAGCAGGAACTATGTGGACTTTGCCACCATCATTTCAGAAGTCACACACTGTCCCGGTGGCAGGGTTCAACTGGTCAAAGGACTCACAAGCCTGCCCAGATGAGGAGGACAACCTACCTCTTAACAGACCCCAGCTGCCATGACAGACTCAGCTGGGAAGATTTACAGTCAGCAGTGAGGAAGACAGACTGAGGGACAGAACCAAGTAACTCACTCAAGAGGGGCTGGGGTTGGGAGGCATTTCCTGATCTACAATGGTAGAGAATGGGTGTGGGTTAGTTCCCAAATAAAAACTGGATATGGTTAACAGCCAAGGAGGAAATGGTGAGTCTGAGAGATCTAATGACACCCAGGAGGGGTCATTTATGGATTAAGTGGCCAGTGTGGGTCACTGTCTAGACAAAGTTGGGCATTTAACCCAACTAAAGTTCAATAAGACAGTTTGAGCTGCAGCTATGGGGACTATCTGTATATAAATGGTAGTTAAAAGCATCATATGCAAATGTGGCAGTTAGGCCATTAAGCAGAAAGGAGGGAGGAAGAGGAAAAAAGGCCTAAGTGGAGAAACATGTTTTTTTTTTTTTTTTTTTTTTTTTTTTTTTGTCTTTTTCGGTACCAGGGATCGAACTCATGACTGCCTGCTTGCAAGGCAGGCACTTATGCCGCTGAGCTAAATCCTCAGCCCCTAAACATGGTATTTTATAGAAGCCAAAACAGGAAGACTTCAAGGAGAATGCAGTCAGCAGTGGCAAATGCCCTTGAAATGCCCGTTGGACTTGGCAGTTAGGAGATTGAGCTCTTCTCTCTCAGATATCATCTCAAAAGTCTTTGTTCATTTTGAGATTGGGTCTCTCTGTGCAATTCAGGTTGATCATGTACTCTCTGTATAGTTCAGGTTGGTCTTGAACTCACTGTGTAACTCATCTATCCTCAAATTTGAGGCAATCCTCCTGCCTCAGCCTCCTAAGTACTGGCATTACAGGTGTGTCCCAACACACCTGGCTCATCTCCTAAGTCTTGACTACTGTGTCCACTCTCAAAGAATTTGGGAATGTGTCCCTTTCATCAAAATTACTGAATTTGTGTTAATAACACCTTTCTTATTGACCCTTTTAACTCTTTTTTTTTTAATCTGTTAAATCTGTCTTTTTTTCCCCCAGTACTGAGGATTTTTTTTTTTTTTTGTACTGGGATCAAACTCATGACCTTGTGCTTATTGTGTGCCAGGCAGGCGCTTGTGCCACTGGACTAAATCCCCAGCCCATTACTGAGGATTTGAAACAGCCTTCAGACTGAACTGCATCATCAGTCCTTTTGTTTATTTTTAACATCCGACAGGATCTCTATAATGCTCAGTGGCCCAGGATGGGCTTGAATTTATGGTCTGTCTGTCTCAGCCTCCAAGAATGGTGGGATTATAGGCATGCACCAAACACTCAGCTTCCTGTTTCATCCCTGATAGCTTTCATTTGTACTCTCCTTTTTTTCCCTTGACCACTGTGATGAGGGGCTTCTAGAATGACTGTTGGACATTGTGACATGGCTGCCATTTGTAGGGGAGTTTAAGATCTAAGCTACTTTGTATAGGAAGAGTCCTCCAAATAAAAGTTAAAACTTTAAATAATAATCTTTAAAGAAATAGACACAAACACAATAAGGGAACCAGATCAAACCACTGATGACATCAGCCAACTAATAATACATCTAGGTCAAGCATTGGGTCATGAAGATAGAATCTTTTTCTTGGCCTTGTTCTGTCATCAACTGAATAAAGCACATCAGTTTTGGGCCTCTTTTTATCAGAAAAAAAAAAACACAATATTGCTGAAGTTAACTTCCAAACTGCTCAAGTATTTCACTTATTGTAGCATGAAAAGACAGACTTTGTTTGAAGGTCTGTGTCTTTGAACAAATTTCTTATACTTTCTGAGCCTTGAGACTCTAAAACTGGAAAAATTTCTACGCCAATTGTGTATGTGTGGGAGGACTAATCAATAAACATATAACAACTGAGTCTTTTTCCTCCCAACTAATAGACATCTGATAGACAACTAATAGACATCAAATTTAGCACATAGGGAGAAAAATAGATTTATGGATATGACAGCTTTTTGATTCATCAACTTGCTGGGCCCCCAGAGTTTCCTTTCTAATTAATTTCCTTTTAGGGGAATATTCTCTATCTAGAGCTATAGGTCAGAAAAGAGGCAGCAACAGTATTGGAATACACACACCTTCCCACAGGTACATCAGAGTCTAAGGGGAAGGAATTCTGCAGGTAAGATTTAAGGTCCTCAATCAGTTAGCTTATAAGTTAATCAAGAGAAGTTAATCCGGGTGGAGGGCCCTGACTCCAATCCTTCACAAGCTGGCTTAGCTGAGAGGACACTCTAATATTTGCTCCAAGACCTTTAAGCTTACTGTAGCCTGTTCACCAAGTTCCAGCCCTTGCTGTGGTGTTCCAGTCTGCCCTGTCACCTTCCCTTGTGCCTGCTTGCCCTATGAAGGTTAGATCTGCTATGTTTGAATGTGCCCATCAAACTAGATGTATTGAAACTGTCTTAGTTACTTTTCCTGTTGCTGAAACAAAATATCCAACACCCGCAAGTTAAGGAAGGAATGATGTATTTAGCTTACAATTTATAGAGGTTTCAGTCCATAATCAGCTGGCTCCAAGGTAGGGTGGCATGGCAGATGGGCATGGAAGAGGAGAAGCAGTTCATGGTAGGAAGACAGCAAAAGCAAGTAAACAGGGGAGTGACCGCAGCTCTTACTACCCTTTATAACCCAGGCTACTTAGGCAGCACTCGTACACTTAATCCTAGTGCCCTTCTGATCCTAGCAAAGCATCATGAGTCAATCACTGATGTATTCTAGATCCAGCCACCTCTGAAAAAGCTCCACCTATGACTGCATGAGGCTTTGGGGGAACATCCAGACACAAACCAT